CTTTTTAATCTGTTTCCACTCCAATAATTTGTTCAGTTTCACTACATCGATAGCATTTATATCAGAGAACCTAGGGGAGGCGGTTAGGGCATATTCTCAGTAATCTTTATCAAGTTAGAGTAGTTTGAAGTGCATACATTGCATGTAAGCGTCATTTTATTTCTGGGCTTATTATGATACACATTGATTTGACCCATCACCTATTGTTAATAACATCGATCTCTTTTTTGTTGCAGTTAATTGTCACAAGCATAGAATCAATGGAGCTTCTTGATTGCTGGGCTTCAAGGCCGTCTAGGAAGAGAAAGTCACCCGAGGAAGATAAAGACACTTTGAGCTTCTCCATGGATGAGCTCAATCAAGATCTTCTTGAAAGAGTATTATCATGGCTACCCACCTCCACATTTTTCCGTCTTAGTTCGGTCTGTAAGAGATGGAAGTCAGTTGCAGATTCTTCCAGCTTCAAGGTTGCCTGCTCTCAGATTCCTTCCCGGGATCCATGGTTTTTAATGGTTGATCGCCATCTCAACCATTCAGTTGTTTTCGATTCTGCTGAAAAAGGTTGGAAAGGGCTCAAACACCCACCTCTCCTCCAGCAGAAATCCAAATCCGATTGCATGCCAGTTGCAGCATCTGGTGGTTTGGTCTGTTTCCGAAATGCATCTGGAAATTTCATTGTCTGCAATCCCGTGACAGGGTCATGTCGCAAACTCCCTCCACTGGATCTTGCACCTGAAAACCAATCTCTTCATGCCATTGTCATGGATCAATGTTCCCAATATGACAGCTCTTACAAGCTTGTGTTAGTGTTTGGTGAACTTCCAAAACTATCATTCAAAGTCTACAACTCAAGTGGTAATTGCTGGGAAGAAGAGATTTCGCTGAGTAGAAAGGTTGATGAAACTATGGAGATTGAGTCAAATGATGATGACGATGATGATGCTGTTTACTTCCTTAGTAAAGCTGGTAATGTAGTAGCCACTAACATGCAGAGAAGTCCATCCAAGGAATACTCTTCAGTCATTACTTGCAAAGATGGTGAGGAAATTGCTTATTTCCTTAGCTCATCTGGTGTAATTGTGGCATGCAATCTGACCCGCAAGAGTTTCTCTGAGTACCCAAGGCTGTTACCAGTCTTTTCTGAGTACTCCATTGATGTAGTGCAATGTAGAGGAGAAATGCTAGTTGTTTTGTTATCAGAATTTCTTGAAAGTGCCAGTCTTAGAGTGTGGAGATTTGATCAGGATAAGGGGTCTTGGCATCAGATTGCAGCAATGCCACCAGCAATGTCGCATGAGTTTTATGGCAAGAAGGTGGATATAAACTGTGTTGGGGCTGGTGACCAGATATTTATTTGCTTAAACTCTGCTGAGCATTTCAGTTATGTTTTATGTGATTTGGTCACCAGTGAATGGGTTGATTTGCCCAGATGCTATATGGATGGTGAAGCCGTGGAGTTCATGTCTGCCTTCTCATTTGAGCCAAGGATCGAAGCTTCTGTATGAGAAGCACTAGAGTTGGCAAGGGAGCAACATATTCAGGATCAAGAATGCCGCTGTGACTTTTCATTAATCTGTAGTTTTCTTGTATTCTTTCATAGTTTCATGAGTTTTTTATTTCTTTAATTTGTTCAAGCAAATTAGCCAACGTAAATTGGTATGAACTTTGCTATTAAAATTAACTCAATTCATTTGTAACATCGTGTACTACTTACTACACTTGAGTTTACAAAAATTGTCATGCTTGTCATTCTAATAAAGATTTCCTTTAACCATCTTTTTGTTTTATCAATGATGTAGACATGTTACTTGTATGTTGCAGTTTTCTGTTGTGATCTTTGGTAGGTAACTGCCTTTTACTTTTAGAAGTTGTGATGAAGAAGACAAAGATTGATGCAATTTCACATAATCAACTCAATGCAAAGAACCTTTTCTTGAAAGCTTGATCTGGTGCATGCTTAAACATCAAATAGTAATGAAGTTCTAGTTTCTTGAAGGGAAATGGTAAACTAGACGCATCGACTTTGATATGCTATGATCCTGTTACTACATGAAGGATTCATTGAAGAAATTGTAGGGCCTGAGAAAATTCCTTAGAGAATTTTTCATAATTGATTGTTGTATGTATATTTAGAAAGAAGTTTTTTCTGTTTTTATGTGCTGCTGTTAAAGCCAAAGTGAGTTAAAGTAAAGTTTAGAGCTCCAAATGTTCCTTTTTACCTGCTGCTGTTAAAAGGATTGTAGAGTAATATATGTTAATTGTTTTTTTTTTTTTTTTTTTTTTTTGGGTCCTTGGTCCTGCAAATGCAGTATGTGGACAAGGAAGCAAGCTGTAAATGAAGAAGATGTTTGCACTTTATCAACTCTTTTCTTAAAGACGATGATGAGAGGGAACAACAATCTCCTTTTAAGCCAAGGTTTTAGCTTTACACGAATGGAAGCCACTACTCTTATATTTTATATTTCCTAAATAATTAGGGTTCTGGTATGAGTTAACTGACTTTTTCCCACCCAAGTAATGATTTAATAACACAGTTTCACTCACAAACTTTTAAAATACCACTTTACTACCCAAATTTATATTCCGAAGATGAACAGAGGGCAAACTCGGTCTAAGCTGTTGAAGCTTTTGAAGAGGGGAGACTGATGAAGTGATAAGTCTTTTGGTGGTTGTGATTGATCATGATTTTACTTGGAAGAGGCGGTTGCACAAACCCTAATCGCTCGATTGTCGTTGATTGATGGGGTTGACCGGAGTAAGGTTTGAGAGATTTTGGTAAGTGGTGATAGGGGAATAGAGTGATGGTGATGTGGGATTGTAAGGATGTTGGAATTGGAAACATAGTATGAATTTAGATAATAAAGTGATATTTTAAAAGTCTGTGGGTGGAAATGTGTTATTAAGTCATTATTTGGATGGGAAAAAGTCATTTACTCTTCTCATATTGTCAAAGATAAAATAACTTTGCTTAAATTAAGTTTAAAATGATGTAATGTAAGTTTAGAAACAAAAATATAAAATTTATTTCATCTCTTTAATTTTTTTTTTTTAAGTATCAAGATAATTTTCATTTATCACCAATGATAATATTTCAATTCTCCTTATGTCATTTATTGTTAATTTCATGGCTCTAATTATTATATATCATTATTAATTAAGGTTCCGGTTGGGCCTTTGTTTGGGCCAAAAATGGGAAGCCCACATGATGAATGTGTATGTGTGCTGTAAATCAGACAAGTAAAGGGGACAATTACTCTAAAACCCCTGTGTATACCATGAATATATGAAACCTTTCTAGTATATAAATAACTGTTAATCCCCTACTTTACTGTTTGTTACACGTTAGTACTACATAATTAATTTTAACAATATTTTACTAATTAATATCATGAAACAACAACTAAACCAAACATAACTCCCACATAAAAAGAAAACATAAATTAAGAAATGGTATTTTAGTAAGCAGTAATACTACGTTTACCGAGTAAATTACCGATTTTCACATACCGATGCACTTGCCCAATTATCAAAATCTTAAATTTTAACTACATCGGTATGTGAAATCGGTAATTTACTCGGTAAACGTAGTATTACTGTTTAGTAAGAGGCTTGTGTGTGGTGGGAGCAATACAATGGGGTTGAGGAGATGTTGCTTGTGTGTGGCGGCCCAGCGAGAGGTGCAATTGCTTGGGAAAGGTACTGGTGAGATATGCCAAAACAACAATACTACACCAATAATCCTCTCTCACAATATAATGTGACTGTTTATAATTGGTCAATTCATAATAAGTCTCATATAGGTTCCACTAATTATTACGAACTGTCACGTTAGGGTTATAAGAGAAAGTTTATGAGAAAGAATTGTTGGTATAGTATTACTCATCGCAAAAAAATGATTGTGGTGTAAGGGTCATTTCCTAAATTAGTGGGTCTAAAGGATTCAGTATACTTTTAGGGGGCGTTTGGTTGGAGGTTATTGGAGATTACTGGGGTTAAGTTATCTTATATTACTTGATTACCATGTTGTCAAGTAATATAAGATACCGGTAATTTTCAAATACCAATAGTGGTTATTATTGGTAATATTGGAGGTAATCTGATTACCTCCATTTTCTTAGGTATTCTAAGATTACTATGGTTATTTTTTTTTTATTACAATTCTCTCCCTTATTAATAAAATTTTAGGACAATAATGTCCTTATTTTTGAATTTATTTACATAAATATGGCTTTTACTATTTCATCCTAATTAATTAACTTTTTGGACAAAATTACCCTTGAATTCAAAACAAATTGCAGCCCACCCAAGCCACCACCCTTACCCACCTGCCGCTAGCAACCATTGCCATCGTCGGAACAACGCACCGAAGGCCGAAAATGGCCACCTTGCACCGATATGACCATTTTCGGCCAGATATCTGGCCATCAATGACCATCGATCTAGCCGCTGACTACCAAATAGATCCATCACGATCTGACCGTTGACGGCCAAATCTGTCACGTCTGGCTATTTCCGACCACATCTCTGGCCAAAAATGGCCATACAGCTCACGGAGGTCATTTCTTGCCTTCTGTGCGCCGTTAGGTTGCCAGCTTCCGACAGCCTGCAATGGTTGCTGACAGCTAGCAATGGCTGGGTTGGTGGGGGTGTTTTGTTGATTTTTTAAACTTTTATTATGGGGTTGTTTTTGTTAAGTTTTTAAATGTAAGGGGTTATAATAACCCAAATAATAATTAATATTAAAAAATAATATAATAATAATATTTAATTAGAAGATAATTTAGTAATTTAAATAACATACCCACCAATTTATTCTTTCTAACTAACTATATTAATATAACATATACATCCATTAATCAAACATATTTTCCTAAAGATTCTTAATCATTTTTAAAGTAATCTAACTTTTCAATAATCCAATATTCCCAGTGATCCAACATTCTCTGACCCAAACACCCCTTACCATTACCATGTGTAAGTTTGACCGCCCCCAGTCGGTTGGCTTTGGTTTTCCCCTTGCCCACGAAAATGCATTTCTTTCATAATTTATAGTACGATACAGATTCATCTTCATTCATTCAATTCATTATAAAGAATAAGAAGATTAATTAAACGAAAGAAAAGAGACAATGGAGTCGGATGAAGGATTGAGACAGCAATTGGAAGAATTGCAAAAACAGCTCGGAAAGAAACAGAAGTTTGAAGATTCCGTCTCCAAAATCAATTCTCTTCTTCACGATCAATTTCCCTCTGCTTCTCCACCTCTTCGCAATCTGGTTCGTTCGCCTCTTTCTGATTCTTTTCTTTTTAAATTTAGAGATCGTAACGGGAGAAAATTTGTCGGTTTAATTAAAATTCGGTTGATTTTGGTGTTCAATTTGATGGTTTTGATTGAATGTTAAGATTTTGGAGTTAAATGCTTTTTCCCTGATGTGTGGCAGTTCTATTCTGTTGTTTGCCGAGTTGCAACTATTTTAAAGACGAGATACACGTCGCCGGGTTTTTGGCTTGCTGGACTTCGGCTTTTTGAGCAGGCTGAGAGTCTTGTTTCTGACCCTTCTCATAAGCAACATATGAAGGCTTGTATTGCTCAAGCTAAGGAACATTTACATGACATTGATAATCCAACTGAGGTTTCGGAATCCACCAACAGTAGAGGTTTAGTTTTCTTTTAACTTTTTCGCATTTCTTTTTTACATGCTTGTGAATGGTTTAATGGATTTCATGAGGTTAAGTCTGTTTTTTTATGTGTATTGATTTGATATAGGTTATCTTTTTGAGGGGCATTTGACTGTGGATCCCGAGCCACCACAACCCTACTGGCTGGTGCAGTCTAATTTGATTAATGCAGTTTCTTCCCTTGTGACTGCTGAGTCTTCTCGCGGTCCAGTGGATAGCAATAGAAATTCAGAAGCAGCTGCCAATATATTTCAGGAATTGATTAATAACCTTGATGCTGTTATACCAGAGGTACTCTCTTCGGTTATTTTTACCTGATCATATATGTAATGTTGATAGAAGATCCTTTGTGGCCTCCCAGATTTACATAATCAATGAGATTTTATTTGTTGCAATGCACAAATACTTTAGAAAGAATAGATGTAAACTAATCGGTATGCTGATGGAAAGTTTATAATCAAGTACATTGTTGCAAAGACCAATCCATGAATGTTTCTATCTACTTTGTACATATGATGGTGAATAATGAATTTATATTGCTTTCTACATGAAAGTAGACAATTTGTTAAATTCAGGGATGTGCAGCCAGAAAAGTTAAATTCAAATAGGTTGGCATATAGATAAGAATATTTTTTGTCCTTATTCTTTTAAATAATCTTGTAACTTGCTTATGCTTTTATCTTGATATGAGTATAAACTATTGTATAGTGTTTAAATATCAATATAAACTTTTAGGTTAATCAACTACTTTAAGTCAAATTGACCAAGTATTCTAATATTTGAATCCATGATTGCATTAACCAAGTTATGATGTATTGTCTTTGTGTTTATGGTTGGTTCTTATATTTGAATCGACTATTACTTTAACCAGGTTATGATATATTGTCTTTGGGTTTATGGTTATAGTTGTTTATCTGATTCTGGTTTGTGTTCGATCCACTTGTATTGCAAGTGAGGGGTAGTTTTAGACCTTAAATATCAGTATCGAGTCTTTACCTATCAGCCTAAGCTTTTTAATGTAGTGATACTTATTAGATCTCTTTGTTTTTAAGATATTGGACGATGATGGTGCACCACCTAGAGCTCCACCTGCCAGTAAAGAAGTTGTTGCCAAGCTCCCAATTATTATTCTGACAGATGAAATATTGTCCAAGCTAGGACACGATGCAGAGTGTGCAATTTGTAAGGAGAACTTGGTTTCAGGTGACAAAATGCAAGAGTTGCCGTGCAAGCACACGTTCCATCCTCCTTGTCTAAAACCATGGCTGGTATTGTTTCTTGACTTTGCTTTGGTTCATGTATGAAGATTTCATAGTTATTTGTGGTTCCATGCCCTTAGACATATATTGTTTGTTCTTGCTGCCAAATAACTTAAACTATGTTAATGGTTAATTGGAAATTGCATGTCTCTTATAGCATTTTGATTTTATGGCAGGATGAGCACAATTCTTGTCCCATCTGTCGGCATGAACTGCAAACTGATGATCATGCATATGAGAACTGGAAAGAGCGGGAGAAGGAAGCTGAAGAAGAGAGGAAAGGTGCTAAGAATGCTGTTCGGGGTGGTGAATACATGTATGTTTAATCAAAGTTGCTTGAACTGAAAGGAACCGGTGGAGGTGAAGATGACAGGAAAGATGCTGCAAATTCCACAAACGTCGGGGAAAGCATGTTATTTACAGTCCTTATTGGATTCTATTAGTGACCTGTTATTTTTATCCATAAAATTGTTAGTTTGATTACTGTTAATGATAAAAAAAAAAAATCAAAATTTAACATTCCTGAACCCTCTCCATGGGCTGGCCCGAGCATGTCTGATGTTTAAAATTGCACTATTTTGGAGCCAGTAGGCATCAATGGAGAATTACCTCCTCTTGCGTACATGTTTGATTTGGTTCTCAATACTTGGGTTTCTAATTAAGTGCTATTATTTAGCATTGTGACTTTTTGACCGATATTAGTGGAGTTGATGTCTTTACAACCTCAAGAAGGTTGATTTGGCACTAGTTCATCTGGTTCAGGATTGAATCAGGATCGGAGAACAAATGAATGTTGAAATTTTGAGGTGGAGTCCAGGCCCTATTGAAAGCCTTGGATGTGCTTTTGCCGTGTTTAAAAATCTTGGAGCCGCCAACTCTTTTTTCTGTTAGCAGAATGTGGTGCTGGCTGAAACGTTTTCAGTCAAAACCAAGTTCCAAAATTTGTATATTTGATTCTAGGAAGAAAGCCCGTAATTATCGAATTCTTAAGTTCCTTCCAAAGTCAACATCAATATTTCTTGTCCGATGAGTAATGTTAGCCTTACTAACATCCTATACTAATCTCGCATACTAACTGATGTGACGTTGATCATGATTGTTAGTATTCTACGATACGCGATACGTATCCTATGATACGATTCGATACGGGTCGCCAACGATATGTATTAGAGAATGTATCCTAAACCTTTCGATACGTTGATATGTATCATACGACACGATACGTATCTGTTTGTATCCTTAAAAATATCGATACAAATCGATACAATTTTATTAATTTGGGCCAAAAGTCCAAAAAAAATTTCAGGTCGAATCCAGGTCACCCAACCTGGTTCACTAAAACTTACCCAAATTTACCTATTTTGCATGAAGAAAGTGAAAATGAAGATGGGTTGCCTATTTTCATGATAATAATAACATAAGTGAAGTTATAGATATTAACATTAATCTTGGAAATGATATGAATGGTTGAGAGAAAATGATATAAATCGTTAATTTTGTGATTAATTTTGATTATGTAATATCATAATTTAAAGCCAATAATACCACAAAATTTGTTAATTAATCATGGGGATGATTTTTAGAAAAATTATATTATTTTATTAATTTTGTTGAAAAAGGCATATCCTACAATACGATACGATACGATACACGATATACGATTAAAAATTAGATTTTCGATACATGATACGATACACGATTTGACAATTATGATGCTGACATGCATGACAGATGCCACCACATCTGCCATGTCACCTAGTTGCCATGTCGGTTGGTCCCAAAAATTAAAACAAAAAATAAAAATTGATTCAAAATTTCTCCTTCCCTTAAATCTGTTTTCCCCAAATCAGTTCTACTAGAATTGAAATAAAACCCTAAGAAAATTGTCAAAATTGAAATCTCATTTATTCCCCAAATGACCAGAAATTTTGTTTCACCATTTGAAGTTAATCATAAAATTATGTTGACATGACCTTACCTAACCCAACCTTCCTTTTCTCTTTGTTTTAAATTTATTTAATTTTTAAAATTTAAGAATATTTGCATTGTTTTATTTTTAATTAAAAGTAAAAAATGGCCCAAAGGCCCATTACTTACTTCAAGCTCCGGCCCACATGTATTACGAGGGAGAGGAATTTCCACAATCGTGGCGTAATAACTATCATGAAGACATGAACTACCATCTTCGTTCATTCCACATTTTCCACTCATCAAAAAAATACTTAACAAACACTCACACTCTCTTCCAATTCTAAAGAATCAAGAACCTCTATAGCCCAGCTTCATACCAAATTATCAACCAATTAACCATGGAATTGGCGACTTCATCCACCAATTGTAGAACCATCTTCTCTCCAACAACAACGCTTGCATGTAAACACCCTTCTCAAGTAACACATTCTTTACTGTCCCAGCCGGTGTTTTCTCCGATTACAAACAGAAGACCCATTTCTTTATCATTCTCAAATATGGTTTCCAACAACGGCTACGCGGGCCAACCCAACAGAAGATTCAGCTTTGATACTAATAACAGTAAATTTTACAAAAGACTTGATTCTTGCTTGGTCATACCTCCACTTAATGGCAAGAAGCCCCGTGCTATCATCAAATTCTTGGGCGGCGCTTTCATTGGAGCTGTTCCTGAAGTCACCTACAGGTTTTGTTTTTATTTCATTTCCTTTTTGGGTTTTTTTTTTTTTTTTAACAGTGTTGGAATTATTAGTGAAATGCGTTTGTTCTGTTGTAATTGGTTGTTGAAGTTATTTGAAAGAGCTATTGGCAAAAGAAGGGTTTCTTTTAATATCAGTGCCGTACAATGTGACATTTGATCATGCTAAGGCTGCTAATCAAGTTTACGAGAGGTTTAATTCCTGCTTGGATACTATTCTCACCACTGGGCTGGCCCATGCCAATTTAGCCCCTACTGATCTTGTCGACCTACCTATATTTTCTGTTGGTCACAGGTCAGAACCTCATTATTTATCGCCTTGATAATAAAGAACATTTTGTTGCTAGTTAGAGGATGAGTATATTAATATAATGTTGTACTTATAAATAAATATACATTTTAAGAATATCACAAGAGAATATTCCGGTAACAGCATTCTGATTATTCCTATGGAAAATGGCATCCAAGTTTGATAAGCAATATGCTGCAGCAAACTTGTTCATATGTTTTTACTTCTTCCAGTGATGATGTTGCCTTTTTATGGTTGCAGTGGTACTGCTAGCTTGTGGTCACATATTATCGTTCTGTGCTGTCTATACTGTATATTCATTGTGATGTTTTGATTAGGTTTACTCTTAGTGTAACAATTGTTGGCCCTTGTTGCAAAGAAATTTCACCAATGGTTTGTTCATAAGAGCACGAAATCAAGCTAATACATTGGTTTTATTCTTCACTAAAAGATTAGTACTGGGGGGCAAATTGATGTCCTCTTTTGAATCAACTGTTTCATAATTTACCTTGCTGTGACCTATTTCTTTTTTTGAATGAATATGCAGTAATGGTGCACTTATCCAAGTACTCATAGGCAGTTATTTCTCTGAAAAGATACCAAAGGTTTGGTTTTCTTTGCTTTTCCAAAAGTTTGCTTGTGTGAGTGGAAGTATTCTGAGGAGTGTATTGTAGACATTAGTTTTGTTTGCACAATGTGTTTTTTGAAGTTTTGTTGAGTTTAATATAAGCAATCTGTGGAGTGTGACAAAGCAAATTATTTCTGTGGAAGGCTAATGCCATAATCTCATTCAACAACAGGCCAGCAACAGAGGCAGTACCATACTTTGAGCAGGTAATTATGTTTGTTTATTAATGGTTAAGCTTTGTTTTTCCAAAAGTTTTGTGCCTGTCCTTATGGAGTGACAGGTTCTTATTCTTGGATTAATGTGCATCTAAATTTTCCCAAAATCAAAGTCATGTTAGATTTATAATAAGATTGATGTGTATTCTCAGCACAGAATAGAATCAAGTCTTATCGTCATCATGGTAAATAAGCCATAATCTTACCTAGGATTATCATATAACCATTCCTTTTGCTTGTTGACAGAATTACCTTAGTATTGACTTTCTTTCGGATAGGAAATTGGTCAGGACCTAGCTTAGCTCAACTACATATAATCAATCTACTATGATCCTTGACCTTCTTGCACAATTCGAAAAAGGTTTTAAGCTGGCACAATTGTTGTTGATTTAGTTGAATCAGAGGTGTACAATAAATGGTTGTAATTCTACCCTGCAGTTGGGTCCTATAGTCAGTCAGATGATGCCAATTGTGGAAGCATCTCCAGTGTATTCAATGGCTAGGAGTGCCTCAGGTGCATCAAACTCTGCCTCTTGCTTATGCTAATTTAATGAAAAATATTAAGTAGTTTTCATGCTGGATTTTACATTTGTCAACTTGGATGGTTGACTACCATTTTGCCTGAATATGGTGCTTTTTATTCTTTCTCCATTTATTATGGAAATTCATGTCCTTGCTATATAAGCATATCCAGAATGTTTCGTACAATTGAACCAATATGGACAAACTATGGCCAGAACTCTTAAAGAAAAGGACATTGGTATAGGGCATTGAATTAAGGTTTTTTTTTTTTCCGATATACTGCTCAGATAAGCTATTAATTTAAATTCAGTGACGTTAAGGGTCATTCCTCTGTTATCCTCTACATTAGGTATCATTACTATGGACCATTTCGTCTTTTTCCAATCACCTCAATCATGTTTTTCATTGGCTCGGCTTCCCCTTATAACATGTTCAATCTGATTTAATCACTGCTATTGCATGTTACTGAAATAGTAATCATAATATCATGTCAGCTGTGACATGTCACTCCTTTAATATGCATTTATATTCATTATGCACATATGATATATGTTTCTAATCGTGCCCCCCCCACAAAAAAAAAAAAAAAAAAAAGGTGATGCGTGGAAGGTGCTACTTGATACAGCTGGAGCAATAATACCAGGCAATGATCAGGAATCCCTAGTTTCATTGAACAATTTTGTTAATCAATTGCCATCAGTTTTCAGTCAGGTAATTTGATCTGTATAACACTAACTGAAACAACTCATTTTGTTCCATTTCTTCCAGATCAGTTCTTTTTCTTTCCACTCTACCTTTCAGCAGAAATATCACTGAATCTATTTGATAGATACCCTTTGATTGTGTGTAACATGAAAATTATCCAATGTGATTTTAATAAAACACCAGTTTTGCTTGGTTGGACATGCTTGCTTTACTTGACAATTATCTATGAGAATTCCATCAATGGGTAACTGGTTGCAGTTTGTGAATTTAAAACCAGAACTAATGAATATAGATAGTTTCTTGTTTTGGGTTGGTAGAATTCTCCCTACTTTTTGCTCTTTTGACATTATTAAAATTTACCCTTTAGGGGCCATTTGGATCGGGGATATATAAGATAAGAGGGGTAATTTTCATTTATTTTGGAAAATTCTTGTGTTTGGTTTGCAAGTAATAAAAATATTACGATAATCTTTTATTGTAAATAGTGTTTACTGTTGGTAATGTGGGGGTAATCTTATTACCTTGTTAGGGGGTGTTATTAAAACATTATCGAGGTAATATGATTTTTTTACCAATTTTACCCTTAATTAAAAACCATTTCGGATACAATTGCCCTGAAATGTCTATCAAAAAACAATTAGCCCAACCCCTCTACATTTGAGAAATTAGCTAAAACACTTCAACCACAAAAAAGGTTAAAAATTAACAAAATACCCCCGTCGGTTGTAACTCACCATTGTCGGCCACCGGCATAAGTCGCCATAATGGTGCACGACTTGTGAGATCTGGCCGGTCAGCGAGATTTGTTGCCATTTCACGGCCACATCTTTAAATGGCCATAGATCTAGTCATGGATTTGTGATTCATGGCCATTTCCAGTTTTGCCGGCATACGGCGGGTCATATACGGCCAGTGGTGCACTATTCCGTTGACTGTCAGCGGTGGTGGCTGGTTGTCGGCAATGGCTTGGGGTGGGTAGGGGTGATTTTGCTACAAATTAAAGTTTTATATAGCTGGGGAGTTTTAACAAAATTTCAAATGTAGGGGGTTAAAAAAAATGATTAAAAAAAATAATAAAAAAATACTATTATATTAATATTTAAAAAGGAGGGCAATTTAGTAATCTATATAACATGCCCATCCATTTATCCTCCCGACCAAACATATTATTCACCAATTTATTCGAACCAACCAAACACATTTTCTAAACATTCCCAACTTTAAGGTAATATTTCTTTCCGTTAATATAATATTCTCTTATAATAAAATATTATATGATCCAAACGACCCTATCGGTAGGCTAGTGAACTTTTGGTTTCTTTTGAATCTTATACATTTGTGAAATTGATATTGCATGTGTTAGGTTACAGAAGGGATGTCAGAGTTCAAGCCAACACCCTCTGAGAATAGGGATTGTTTTAAAAAGTCATACAATGTACCACATACACTACTGGTATGCACTGTTTTCTGTCTGTCCCAAAATCAACTTTATCTGGAGGGCTTTGATATTTATTTGGTATGTTTTTAATTCTTTACTATTAGGTGAAGTTCAGCTTCGACACAATTGATGATACAGATCTACTTGAAGAGACTTTGAGACCTCGTGTGGAGTCTATAGGTGGGACCGTAGAAAAGATCCAATTGAATGGTAACCATATCACACCATGTGTACAGGTAACTCATGCAAAATTCATTTTTCTTCCCTTCTCTGTTTGGAAATTTTTTGCTTATATATTGATGTAATGTAAGTTTAGGCAGCTCTTGGTGTAACTAGAGAAGTCTCTTTTACACAATAATGAGGTGACAAAGAGCATGACATAGGATTGAGAGAGGCAATCTTCAGGAAGATTTTCATGGAAGATTATGGCAGTAGCATAGTGGATATTAGAAGACGACAAATGTGAGAAATTGGAAATAATAAGAGTAATGCAGGCATGTATAATAAGAGTCCTCTCTTCAGTTGAAAGTAAGAGGCTGTTTATAGACTTGCTAATAAAAACTTATAAGGGCAATTTTATGGACCCCATGAGAGATGTTTCGATTTGAAAAACCCAATGTTTTTGGAAACTATGAAAAACACCCCTCCCAAGGGGTTTTCAATAATTTCCCAAACACTTTTAGAGGTTGAAATGCTGCTTGATTTGATGTTTTCAGCTTTTCTTGACAAACTCATTTTATTTATCATATCCCAAACTTAAGTCCAAAGTTAGAACCCTCAAATGCGTTCCACTTGAGTCTGGAAAGAGCCTTCTGGAAATGAAGAAAGTTTGTCATGAGACCCCTCAGGCCTTCCTATCTGTTAAGTTATAGTGGGCTCATTTACCTGTTTGTTTTTAATTCTGATATGGCAAGTTAAATGCTGGCTCAGATCATACATGCAGAGCTTGTGAGTCTTCTGGGTTAGTCATGAACTCATCATTAACTGACGCTGAGGCTCTTGCAGTTGCGACTGAGAATAATCCCGTCTATTAAATTGAAAAGCATACAAGCTAAATGAACATCTTCCTGTCTCTCTCCTCTTTTTTTTTTTCTTTTTTTTTAATTATGTAAGTTATATTGTTCTTTTTAAAACTTTTCGCCTTCCAAAGAAGCCCTCTTACAGTAGTCCACATATTTTTAACATCATTTCAGTTGTGATAGTCTTGAACTCCTGCCTTGTATCATCATGCTTTTCTGCATGATGCATAGGATAATTATACCCTTGAATGCATCTATTTGTTTATGCATTTTTTGCTACATCTTAATTGAAAACTTATTATGTTTGTTATGATAATTCAACCCTAACTATTTTGTTTTTCCTTTTTCTTTCCACCTCATCAGGAACCAAAATGGCAAGCAGGTTCTGTGTACACTCCTGCTGATGCCATTGCTCAGGGCCTTAAAACTCTTTCAATAAATGAGATTCGAATCCTTTCCAAAACTATCAGTGACTGGTTCAGACGTTTTGAAGGTTAAAGTGCTATTAATTCAGTTCAGAATGATTTTGCCAGATCTTTTCATCGAAAGAAGAACGTGTTACAAAATTACTTCACACATTAAATACATCATGTAAATTCAGTTTGATCTAAATATATTGTCAACGTCAAAGTATAGTAAGATGTGCTTCATTTGAATCCAGTGAAGCAAAATTGTTCTGCTGCAAAAGCTGGAATTTTCACATTGACTGTACCACTTTGTATATTGTCTATCTACTTCGTATATTGTCTATATGTGTGTGCATGTGTATTCTTCGTATTACTTTTTCTTGCATCACCTGAAAGCAGTTTGAAATTGTGATACAATAATAGTGCATTTTTCCTCTAGGATTGTTCAGAGATCATATTCTCCGTCTTGCATATATTGGGACTTGATACATTTTGTGAGGAAGTATATGTGATGGTATCAACACTAGTGTTTTTATTTAGTATTATTAATATTTTGGGCTGGGAGATTATCAAATTATAGGAAGAAAGGATAGGTGACCTATTGAGGGGATGGAATTCTGAGCATTGCAGCACACTCCAAGATGGGAATTTGGTTAAGATACTGTGTTCAAATTCCTGTTTGCATTTATTATTATTTCGAGGAACCTATACTTTTACGATTGAGAACAGCTTCAATTATCAGAAAAAAAAGAACATCAAAGAGAGAAAAAATTAAATAAGGGTAAAAGCTAACATCAAGAAAACTGTAAGAGCTCTCTCGTGGCCCTCATGATCATGAATTAATTCAAATAGGAATTGCACGAGCTAAGCCGCTGCTGCCTTCACTTTCTCGATGAGGTCTGCTGCATCTTGAACTGTTGCAACGTTTTCAGCTCCACCTTCTCCAATTGACACCCCAAATTGTTCTTCCAAAGCCATCATTATCTCCACCTGATCATCATAGTTTAAACCTAAGGTTAAGCTCAATCAAGTACCTATGCATAATTGCATATGCAATTTTAACCTCAAGTAATATATACCGTGTCAAGGGAGTCGGCACCCAAATCAGCAAATTTGGTTTCAGGAGTGACTGTGCTCAAGTCGATTGACAATTGCTTAGCAATGGTGCTCTGGACTGTTTTCAGTGTCTCAGGTTGAGCCTGCAGGTCATTGGTTCATAAGCTTAACTAATAACTATACGAAAATAACAAAAAGTAAAAGACTATTATTTCAAAGATTGAAGAGTTATTAAATTCCTTACAGCAGAACATGAAATTGCAGTCTTGAAGCATCTGGACCTAGTAGAAAACCTGTCAACTGTCTTGGAAAATTGGATTTTCGGAATGTGCTTCAACCCACTAAACAAAGGACTTCCCTGCATTAAAATTTTGATTCATTTGTCCCATTAACACACACTAACACAAACACAACAAATACAAATACCGAGTTCATTAGTTATTAACAAGTGAGTTTACAGTTGTAGGGAAGGTCTTCTGCACAGAAACAGGAGCTCTGGCTCCAGAAATAGCCGAAATGGTGGCCAAGGAACATGCAGGAGTTGCAAGAAAGGCAGCCATGTGATGAGCTATAGCTAGTTTGATGACTCGACCAACAAAATGTAGTTGATCACGAGTGAGTCACTGGTAACTGGTAAGTATTAGCAAGTGATATATATAAAGGGAGTTTAAAACTTGGAAATAGGTGGAGGGGGTGATGATTCCAATGTGTAAATTTGTTTTTGGGCGGTGACTTCCATGTCCTCCGTCTGCTTATGCTTGTAATCTCCAATCTGGCCTCAGTGCAGCCATTCTTGGCTTCCTCAGTCTTATTTGATTTTGTGTTACAATGTGTCCTGAAAACGTCATTTTAATAATCAAAGTTGTGATATAACTAGAAATCAAATTTGTAATTGATTATTTCATGGATAGCACACCAAGATATTGTTTGTTTTAGTTGGAGTTGACTGTGTCAAAACTCTAAACCTTTTTGTTTGGTGAAGCTATGGTGAAATAAACTGAACTGAGTTGTTAGCTCAAGGTTCATTTATAGGCCCAATTCTTATCTTGTTCATGGAGTTTCATAAGCCAGCCCAACCTGTCAAACAAATTTGTTCCTTTCTTGAGGAGAGATTGTGAAAATGGGACGACGGATAATGCCATATATATTTGTTGTGGGTTAGGATAGAGAGTCCCATTTTTTTTTTTTACACAATTTTTGAGCTGTTAGATTAAAGCATTGGAAGGGTTTAGATTGCTTCTTATTTATGGTATTTCCAAAGTGTATTAATTATGTAAGTTGTATTTGAACCTCAATCATTCAAAGTCCTTTGATCTAATGCCTCATAAATTGTCATATTTTGTGTCTCCTCTGCTTCAGTCCAAATGTTGTTTTTACCATGTAAGTTTGTAAACTGTACTATCCTGTGTTTTAAATTTTTGAAATATATAGCCAAATCTAACAAAAACCCCAAGGGATTGGTCTTACAGTCAAAGAGGTTTGCTCCATTTTTTGAGTTCCTGGGTTTAAATCTTGGGTTCACTTACCATAATAAAATTATAACTTACTTAGTTTTTTGAGTTTGTAGGGTATTTAATGGACCCCGGAAATTAATTGAAGTGTACTTAAGCTGGCTTGGACAATGTAGTTACCAGCAAAAAAAAAAAAAAGTGGTGCTTCGAACCTTCTTCATTTGTTGTATATGAATTACATTTTCGGCTAACGATGTGATTGCCAGTTATATGCCACAAGCTGTGAAGCTGGAATTTTACCCTTTGATACCGGTTAATGTCAATTGTTGGAGATTAAAGTGCGGAATTTTTTTGAAGAAAAAATCATCAGGGTATGTTTGGTTTGTTATTTTGGATACGATTTTGGAGATAGTATTGGATAGTTGAGTAGGGTGATTATTACGAGGTAAAATTTAAAAATTAACAAAAAAATGCCCTAGGTTTGCTAATTTAACTAAACACCCAAATATATAAAAATTTTGTAAAATGACAAAAACACCCGCACCCACCCACCCACAGTGCTAGATTCTAGCCACCATCGTCGGAATCTGGTGTTATGACACAGACCGGTCAGATTTGGCTAGTCGTGCGTTGATCTGGTCTTTTCCGGCCAGATCCACCATAGATCTGGCCATCGACAGCCGCAAAAGGCTAGAGTTTGCCGTTAACGACGGCCAAAGATATGACCGTCTTTGTCGGTCAACGACGACCATTTCTTTGGCTATCGTTGACGACCAGTGGATCTGACTGGAAAAGGTCAGATCAGAGAATTACTGGCCAGTTCCGATCGTTTATACGTCGTTGTGATAGATTCCGGCTACCACCGACGGTGGTTGCTGGAATCTGGTAACTATGGGTGGGTGGGGGTGTTTTTGTTAATTTTTAAACTTTTTTTTAGAGATGTTTAATTAAATTAATAAACTTAAGGGGTTTAAAAGTAATTGAATAAAATATAATAGTATTTTCTAAATAATGAAACAAATAGTTATTTTGAGAATAAGATTGAGAATAGAGTATGAAATAATAAACCAGACTGACCGGTATGCTGCTAAAGTTTTTCGTAAAGGGAAGTGGGGTGAGTGAGACATAATTACTTTAAAAGGGAATATAATTTGTAAGTAACATGTTTAATTGAAGAAAAAGGAAAAAAAAAGAAAAAAGAAAAAAAGATAAGCACCAGTTCAAAAAGGTAAAAATAAAAGTTTACTTTGAGGATTCCATTATTCCAATATATAAATTTTACTTTTGAAATTGAAAGAAAGCAAGCAAGTACTACTCCACTTCAAAAAGGCTGAATATGAATCAGCCTTTTTAAGTATTTGAGCAGTATTCAAAAGTATACACTCCCCACTTACCATGCATGCATAAACCATTATATATATAGACCTCCATATTTTTCATTTGTTTTTCGTGTCAGCTTGTATATACCTCAACTAAGCCCCAGAGTCTTGGAATTATTAACGGATAAGAGTCTCAGTGACCACTCTTATTAGTGCTTAGAGGGATTCGAACTCAGGAACTTATAAAATTCTTTTTTTTTTTTTTTTTTCATCAGGTCATCTAGTAGTGGTTAACTATTACTTGTTAAAAAAGATGTATATTTTCGTTTCATAAGTGTGATAAATTAGAAGTGATGGATGATTGATCGATGTAATGGAGAGCCCATTGCTTCTTTGAATGCAAGCGTGCATGCACATACGCGGACACACTGAACTGTTACATTTTTTGCATGCATGACACCTACAACTTGTATCATGTGCTTGCATTCAAGTGAATTTAAACTATAGCATCACCTAATAACAACAGAACCGATATTAATCAATGAATGAATGTTGATGGAGTAGTAGTGGATAATCAGCTTCATCGATCTCTATCTTCATTATCTGTCTTGTGGTCATCCACTAGAGTAAATTAGAACAGTGCAAAATCACTTTCGCCTCTTGCGCGCAGAGATAAACATAAAAACGTATTGGTTTTGAGGGGTTTTTATTGGCTGCAAGTTGTCATAATTCATAACCATATAACCAGAAGTTAAAAGAGACTATTTATTTTGATATTGTTTAACTGATATCTCAGCAGCTTTTTCTAGAACTCATATTCACTCTCTGCAGGCCTTACGCAGAGAAAGAGAGAGTTGTGTTGTGTTGTTTAGTGATAGTGTTGATGGTGGTGGTGGCTGCAGATTAAAAATGGAATGATGGTCCCAGTGAGAGCTGGTGCTACTGCTGCTGTGCATGCATGCATGCGCCAATTAACTCCACCCCCACTAATAGCGGAAAGTGACCACACACTTTTGCGGGTTAAATGGCTCCCCGCCCCTGCCTGCATCATCTTATGTTCCATAAACGTCTTCTTTATTTTAACATAAATACCAATACTCATTTAATAATCATTTCAATTATATATATCATGGTGCTAGAAAATCTAGAATATTATAGAACTACCACATCACTCATACCCTAAAATATATCTTTATAACAATATTATATGCATAAATTCATTCATACAAAATAGCGTGACAACCTTATATATATATATATATATTATAATTTTAGAAGACTTATTATGAACTTACCAAAGGAAGCGGTTGGTCCAATAATGGTGGGTGAAGAAGAGTTCCTCAAATATGGTTGGCAAAATTGACTTCATCTTCAAACACTTGTTTATATAAAATTGTCACCCGTGAGCTTTTCGTTACTTATATGCCTGATTATTCACCTTTTTAAAGATTGTACGTGTGGTGTATATTATATGAATTCATAATATTAGAATACAATAAAGATTGGTTCACAACTCAATTTTATAAATTTTCTTTTACAATTTCGATATGATAATTTATAATTTGATAGACATGATTCATTGCAAGCTGTCACGTTCGAGTTGTAAAAAAAAGTTTGTAAGATTGGATTGTATGTATGATATTGTTTTATTCAATAATAAAGTGATCAAAAAATCTATATTATTATGCATGTTTTGACATTAGTATCGAAGTTCTAACATATTTCCATATGCGTAAGGTAGATTCAATAACACTGTCAAGTCAAATCATGAACGCAATAGAATAAGTGTAGGGTATTATTTGAAATGTAAAATATTATTTGTATAAAAACTTGCACTAAAAGATAAGTACTATTATCGCGGTTTCATTGCTAATATAATTAAACCAATCATTACTCCTTTAAATTCAATCAAATGCCATTTACCCATCCGACAAATATTAGTTCGTGGTATTATATAATTTCCTCTTTATTTAAAATTGTTGGTACAGAATTTTGCATAAACCAGCGAGATCTAATCGACATTATCGGGATCGAAACTGATGTATGCATGATTAGTAATAATCAGCGATGAATATGAATAAAATAAACTAAAAACAAAGAGATTTTTAAAATGGTTCGACCAGGTTAACAATCTATGTCCATTGTGTTTTTGTATTTGCTGTGAGAGCTTACAATGCAATTCATATCTAAAATTCGTGACCCCCTCCTCATTGTCTGATGGGGGTTTATATACAAGATTTGTACAAAGGAAGCAACAAAAATCAGGGGATTAGAACTGATTTGAATCATAATTCCAATATCCTCGCGATTGAGCGCTGTGATTACGCAGTGATCATCGTTGATTTAGTCATTCCCGTAATATCTGAGATCTGAAGTAATCCGGGGATTAATTGAATGATTCCTTGAATTGTTCGCAACTAGCTTATGTTGGGTTGAGCTATAGCTCGACAAGCTTATGTTGGGTCGATCAATCGTAGTTGTCGAGCTCATTCTAGATAGAGCTATATCCTCGAATTGGTCCGAGCTTGGCGGAAAAACCACACACAACATCTGCCCCTTAGTGTTCGATACTCGTTTCGAGCTTCAAAAACTATTGCTCGATTTGATGCCAAGCTCGACTTCAACTGTGAGTCTCCGAGTGCGTGTTCAACTAGGTCCCCATGATCGACCTTGTGCTTGGCCGACGTATCTCACACTTGAATCTTTATTCTTCATGGTACCTGTCAAAACTCAGAATATGAATAGTCAGGGCATACAGGTAATTTCCGTGTGGTCGTGCCACATTAAATGTGGCAGCTTTTGTCAGTTACATTTTGTCATGTGTGGGCGACGATAGCTGTTCATGTGT